ATTTGATTCATTTGTAATGTATCATGCCTTATTTTCTTACAATACATTTTCAATTCACCATGAAATGAATAATGATTCAATGTCACCAAGAAAGCAATGATCAGTTCATATCTTGCAAATGTTTTCTAAGTGACAATTATTAATAATATAGGATTCCGAGTGTACCATAAGGGTGGCCATCGGCTAATTAATAAAATTGATATATTTCTGTTTGAAATCATAATTGGCACTGTTCTATACGTTGTTGAATGGTTGTCCCAATACATTATTCAGATGAATTGATGAACAGTTACTCGTAAAAAAATATGAACGTTGTGAGAAATAAAAAAAAAACTAATAATTCGTTGAGGAAAGGAAACGAAAAATGTAGGTTTCCACCAGTTTTAATTGAACAGGAATCCTACTATACAGGGTGTTTCATAATTGAATGTCAATATTCGAGGAGGCGATTCTTGGGCTCATTCTAAGAAGAAAGTTTCATATGAACGTATGACCTAAACGTCCCAACTTTGGAGATACAGGGTGGTAAAATTCTCGAAAATTAATATAGCCTACTACAATGAGAAGTTATAATTCGAAAATACCAAATACGAATACAAAGTTCATGAACTATGAATTGTATTTCTGAAATTTGATCTTAAAAATAAAAACTATTTCTCTGCATTGTGATATTATCATATTAACAATATTACTATAATCATGTAGTGAAAAGCTTTTTATTTTTAAGCGAAAACCGTGCATCAGATTGAAAAAATTGTAGTGATCAAATTTGCTTAGAAATGATCGGGAATTTCAGGAATGATTTCAATTTGGAGATTAATCAGTGGCGTACCATCAATGTCTGCCAAAATAGGTATGTGAAATTCCATACGAACGCCACTGGTGGCAACAACAAAAAATGTGGTACGCTAACTGATGCCTCTTGATACATAGTACATGTATGCCAAATTTCATCAGAATATCTGAAGTGGTATTACAGATATTAATAAAAAACTATTAATTTTTGAGAACTTCACCACCCTGTATCTCAAAAGTTAGGATGTTTAGGTCATACGTTCATATGAAACTTTCTTCTTAGAATGGGCCCAAGAATTGCGTCCCCAAATATTGACATTCAATTAGGAAACACCCTGTATAATGTCAATTCATCCTACATATCATCAGCAAAATACATGAAGGAGTTTTATTTTAGGACTCACTACTATGAATAACGTCATTTCTACACAATGATAAACTTTTTCTAAGTGAATAACAGATCGATAGAAAGTAAAACAGCACTATGGTTGTCTATAACTCTCGGCCGCCCCCAAAAGGGATTCTGAATGGCACCTTCTATACCTCTCGTGGTGATGAGTCATACTTCCTCAGCATAATATAATGAATACAACACCAAAAATTATTTTTCGATTAACCACGCGCACCAAATCCTCACACTGAACATACTCTCACGAAGTCTCGACGAAACTGACGCTAGTGACAGTAGTGACGCTGATGGATTCGGATATACAACACGAGAGGGCGACGATTATTCCCGATTACTGGGCAGGTGAACATGTTGTATTAACGTAGGTATAGTATATTTCACAGTAAATGGTATTGGCTTATTAACTGCAATAAACTACCCGATTTAATCCCATTGTGTAGAAAATCAGCAGGTGAAAGATGCAAATGTGCTACAGGGTCGAACTTAAGAAATTTGAATTTTGCATAATATAGGAGATATACAAGTAACTATACACATTTTTTATAACGATTTTCGCGACACAAGATAAGTGATTCTTCTTTAACGAACCACTGGAAGAAGTACTATTACTTTTTATTCATACGGACGCCACATACTGCCTATTCTGTACGTTGGGGTATAAAATCTTTGCTATTAATGTCTGTAATAACAAATAAATGTTATAAAATTATTGCACGCCGTAACACAAGTGAACACTTCCAATGAAATACAAAGACTAAAATGAACAAGAAGTGTCAGCTGTAATCCTCAACAATCCCTCTCTGAGAAACAAAATTACCTGAATCCGGTCCTTTTACATTAATGATGTGCATCTCGGATTTTACAACTGAAGGGTCTAATCGGTTTTATTATAATCCTTTAGCCAATACCATTTACTGTGAAATATACTTTATATTGGGTTGTACCGCAGATAAACAATTGTATTGTGCTTGTAACACGAGTTTCTGTAGTTATTATATCCTTTTCAGAAACTCGAAGTTAATAAAGTCTGAAATACACTTCACCAGCGCTTATAAAATGTTTTCCTGTGGCTATACAGAGTGAATTATCTAAGATGAAAATTATTTGCTATAGGTGGATGAAATTATAGCTACAAGTTCATGCGTTCAGAATTATCATTTAACTAGAGGCTGAATTAAATTGTTTCTGGAATAGGTATTATTTTTCTTATCCCGATACAAAACAAGTCAGGAAAACATTTTACTTGGACCATTTTTTTCCGTGTGTATACATATGACATTGCAGGGATGTATACATATGACATCGCAGGGATGTAAACCTATGACATTACAGCGATGTACATTTATTACGCAGAGATGAGGTAATATGTAGGAAAAAATTTCAGGGAAGAAGAGTCTGATGAAAAAAATATAAATAAACATTTATTTTCAATATACAATGAACAAAACAAAATATGAGAGGTGATTCTCCAGAGGGTAAAATGATATCGGCAACCTTGGACGGACCTACGGACTATGCGAAATTCGAATATTGTATTACTCGTACATCGCAGCGACAGAGCATTCGTAATATCGAAGTGTTGCCTCATCGCGACATCTCAGAGATGTCATTTCGCAGATGTGTTTGCTTCTGTACATCGCAGCGATATGACATTCGTAATATCGCAGTGTTGCCTCATCGCGACATCTCAGAGATGTCATGTCGCAGATGTGTTTGCTTCTGTACATCGCAACGATGGAACATTCGTAATATCGCAGTATTGCCTCATCGCGACATCTCAGAGATGCCATGTCGCAGATGTTCGCTTATGTACGTCGCAACGATAGAACATTTGTAATATCGCAGTGTTGCCTCATCGCGACATCTCAGAGATGTCATGTCGCAGATGTGTTTGCTTCTGTACATCGCAGCGATGGAACATTCGTAATATCGCATTGTTGCCTCATCGCGACATCTCAGAGATGTCATGTCGCAGATGTGTTTGCTTCAGTACATCGCAGCGATGAAACATTGGTAATATCGCTGTGTTGCCTCATCGCGATATCTCAGAGATGCCATGTCGCAGATGTTTGCTGATGTACATCGCAGCGATAGAACATTCGTGATATCACAGTGTTGCCTCATCGCGACATCTCAGAGATGTCATGTCGCAAAAGTGTTTGCTTATGAACATCGCAGCGATGGAACGTTTGTGATATCGCACTGTTACGTAGACGCGACATCTCAGAGATGTCATGTCGCAGATGTGTTTGTTCATGAACATCGCAGCGATAGAACGTTTGTGATATCGCACTGTTACCTAGGCGCGACATCTCATGTTGTTTTCATTTAATATAATTTCATTTTCAAATAATTTTTTTTTATGTGAAGAACAAAGATGTAGAATAAAGTTCAGGATACAGAACCCATACTATACCCAAAACATTCAACAAATTGAATGTACATTCTTTATATATTTTTCAGACGCCAGTATTATGATAAGCAGTCCCATAAGCCCCAGGGAAGAATTTCAATTCGATTTATTGTGACTTTCAATCATGAGCAATAATCCCTGTACGATTCCTCTTGAGCATCCTGCGAGTATATTGTTGTCATTTCTGTTCATCATCCTTTAAAAGCCCTGTTTTTCAAATTAAAATCACACAAGACAATTTCTTGGTACTAAACCTCTCACACATGTAATTTTGTTGAGCTGTAAATTTCTGATGAATAAATACAAATATATCTGCAATTTGCGACTTCGAATATCCCCATCACTCCCAGGAAGTTTTTCTTTGACCCGGTTTCACGTGAAGTGAGATTATGAGACTTTCGGATTATCTAGTTCGCTTTCGGTGCACCTCTTGCCTGAAGTGCGGGGCGCCGCGCCGGACCGAGGCACGCGCGGGTTTGCCCGATTATTACAACGTATGCTCACATTGAATTCGTATGCAAATAGCAGCCAGTTATGAAGAATATCCTAGTTTATCGGTCTAGAGATTTGCATACGAACTTAAATCATCGATTATTTGAAAGATGTCTAGTCAATTGATGTTCGAATAAGTCGAGCTCCCCTCTCCGGAATCGTATGCAAATGTCGGGAAACTGATTAATGGGTCAGAATTCATTGTTTCGCCAGAGGGCATACATTCTTCGATCATCGACTATAACACTGAGAAATTGCCACTTCTGGTTCGTATGCCGCCCTTGGGGAGTGACCTAGGCGTATGCAAACCGGCAAGCGCCCCAATTTCCGTGAGATAAGATCATTGCACTTCATTGCCGAGCTTCTTCTTAAACAAAATTTTGAACTTTTTTTCAACCGAAAGGTGAGGTCAGGGCCGGGGCAAGGACTGGGTTGCGACTTTCCGAGGCACTCCTTCCTGTTAACTTGGACAAACTGAGTGGGTCCCTTAAATGGCATACCGACTTAGAACATCGATAAACCCTGTGTCGCGGGCCAACAGCCTATTAGTGGAAAATGAAAATAAAAAACCACTATTTCAAAACTTCCAAGTGCAACTGCCATGGGGTGGTGTGGGTAAGGGTTGGGGGTGGGTTTGGTAGGAAGGTATGGACTGAAAATTGAATAAGGATGGAACTATATATAACTGTTTCAATTTCACAAACACTTCAGAGTGAGAGAAGACGCGGATCTGTCCGTACCCTGTTAAGATGATTATAACGTCAATTTACATCAAGGGACTCTATTTTAATCATGCAAGATTCAGCATCTGGCTGCGGGTACTTTTCAATGTGAGATCGGACGCCACTGGACTCTCGTGTATCATCGGAAATCGTGGCAGCCAGAAAATTTAGCAGCTGGCTGCCGCCCGGCAGCCAAGTTCACATAGGTACCATAACCAAAACCATCCGACTGATCCGACTTAGGAGTTACAAGGTCCAAGTACATTATTTGTTTTGTAACATTGTACAATGAATAATGAATGATAATCCCAGTTTTTGAAACAGTGGTAAATTCCAACTCAATTACTTGAATTGATGATGATGCACTCCAGTCGTACAAAACATTACCTTCATTGTTTGCTCTTTCTAACAGTAATAATATTTTTCGAAATATTTGCTGGTGGAATAAAAGTTTTGAACGGAGGTGCATTTGTTCCTGCCACAGACATCAATCCATGGGTTCAGTACGGGTATTGTGGGGCCTCTATATTATACATTTTGAGGCTGATAACGTTCCTTCCTCTACCTCAAGTTTTGTTCAACTTTATTGGATTAACATTCTATAATGCTTTTCCTGATAAAGTAATTTTGAAAGGATCCCCACTTTTAGCACCCTTTATTTGCATTCGGGTGGTAACGCGTGGAGATTTTCCTAAACTAGTGAAGAATAACATCAATAGAAATCTAAATAAATGTTTGGATACTGGTTTAGAAAACTTTTTAATTGAAGTTGTAACAGATAAGCCTTTAGGGGTTGAACAACACAGAAGAATTCGGGAGGTGGTTGTACCTGCAGAATACCATACAAAAAGTGGTGCTTTATTCAAAGCTCGTGCATTACAGTATTGTTTAGAAGAAAAAGTCAATATTCTTTCTGATAATGACTGGGTTGTCCATCTGGATGAGGAGACTCTTCTAACTGAAAATTCTGTTCGAGGAATTCTGAATTTTGTTATGGATGGAAAGCATCCATTTGGGCAAGGACTTATTACTTATGCAAATGAAGAAGTAGTCAACTGGATAACCACATTAGCAGATAGTTTTCGAGTTACAGATGATATGGGAAAACTCAAATTACAGTTTCTGATGTTCCATAAACCATTATTCAGTTGGAAAGGATCTTTTGTTGTAACACAGGTAAATTTTAGATAGGAAAACGGGTACTTATTGTATATTTTGTATATTTTAGTGCTCCTTTTAGTGTTTGCAAAGGTTGTTTTTTCATCAATGAATTAAGTATTTAACAATATAACCTCTCTCAAGTTTGAGGCTAGGACAAGAAAGTCTATGGAGAACATGAAATGTCATATTTCTGGGAGTAGTAGTTGCTTGAGTATCTGATTCAAATTCATCAAACATTTTGAATTATAAATGTTGTTTTGACACAGAAAAGAATTCTAAGGTGTATTTCAAACAATCTCATTTGCAGACTCCTGTGGACCTTTTTTTATTAACTTGTAAATTTTAACTGTGTATGGCCTCTATACAGTGTGGAAATTTAAGGGAATAATATCCTTTATCTCCATAACAGAAGTAAATTTTGAAAAATCCTTCAATCGGTTGATTTTTTATTTTTGATATTCTTTTTTTATGTATTTTTCAACCTCCTGTCAACCTCCTGCCATACTAATCAACTCCTTCAACATTTTTAGACATACAAGGGGTCAAGTACACAGTTACACCATGTTAGATGATATATTAAAGAGGTACAGTCAACTGGGATGAAACAAATCTGAGTTTTTTTCAGCACTGCAACCAAAGTACATTCCTTGAGAGTGTGAAAAAAATATGATTCCTATTTCCTTCCCTGAAGAATAAAATATTGAACTATCATGAAAAAATTTTTAAAAAATTCCAAAGTGTGATCCACTTCACCCTGGATTTTGGGGTGAAGAGGATTATACCTTACAAATGTCTGAAAAATCACTGCAAACACATCTATGGGTCAAGAGGATCAAGGAAATTCATTTCAAAAATTATAAATTTATCAGTAACAAATAGAAACCAACAAAAGTTCATGAAAATAGCTATCAATGTCTCAAGGTGTTGAATGGAACTACTGCAAATGGTTCAGACGCCCCCGGACGCCCCCCTCATACTCAGACCCCTCTTGACTGCTTCCACAGCCTTCTTTGAATATTCTCCATTATAATTACTATGGCCTTCTTGCACAACTTTCCATTTACAATTTTTTATTAACTCTGCATACATACACAGCCATTCAATATCAAAAAACTGATTTTAAATGTAGGTAATTCAATTTACAACTAATTATACCTACAATGAAACAGTACCTACTCCATACAGATTCTAATGAATTTTAAGTATTTTGACGGTTCTCTTGCCAACATGACTCAACCTAGGTAATTGAAAAAAAAATGTTACTTTATAAATATTCAAAATACCTCCCTAATAAGGTGTGACTTGACCCCTTGTACAATTCAAAAATTTGAAGGGGTAGATCATTAGGGCAGCAGATTGACAGGTAGTTAACGTTTTTTACATGAAAAAATAAACTGATCAACAAAATAAACATCCTCCTCCAAAATATAGGACTATTTCAAAGTGGAATTACTGATAGATCCCATAACTAATTTCTATTCAGTTTTCATGTTGGTTAGCCCAATCTTCCAGTAGGGCAATATAAGACTACAAACATTCCAGGATATGTCTAAAAGATGATAATGGAAGTAATGTAAAATTGCTGTTCTGTCATGTTCCCATTAGAGCAAATATTTTTTATAATTTTTTTCCACCAGTAATGAAGCTTGATGTCTTCTAGAAACAATTTCGGAATTTTTTCAATCAGACCCTTTATATTGAAGATATATCTTTTTCTTCAAAATAGTGCATTTTTTAAAGGAATATTTGAGAGAGAGAGAGAGAACATCTTTATTAGGGATATACCCCAAAAGGCCATTGACCGAAGTCTTTCAGCCTCTATAACATTCAATATTCATAATGTTTTTCAAAAAATTCATGTACCTTGCTGCACCAGCATGTGTAACCCACGACCACAAAAACATGATGGGCATTTTTAACTCATTGATTACATTTTGTTAGATTTATTTCATTATATCTCAATTTTTTCAATCATGGATTCACAGGAAATGGGTGGTGGTGCAGCTTTAGACTAAAGGTATATCAAACAATTTTTGGATTTTCATAATCCTGTATCCATCATTAACCCTAACAAATTAATTACAAATGTTTAGATATGAAAACAACTCTAAATTCAACCCCCAACTCAATTATTTTTTATTATTTATTCCACTGCCACACACATATATATATATATATATATATACAGTGTGTCCCTAGACCAGTGGGATAGTTGAATATCTCCTGAACCAATAGGAATTTGCAGAATATTATAATTCCACATCATATTCCACCATGAGTGCTAACTTCCGGAATGACTAAATTTTATAGGAGGGGCGCAAGAAAGGCTCACAAAATCGAACATCAATTTTTTCAAATGGAACACCCCATATATTTCAACATATCTGAATTCTCATTCCTTTAGGCTAATTATCAGTTCTTTATTTTTGAAAATCCGACAAGGCGTTGCCAAGTTATACCAGTATTTCATGAAATGAAGACATTTTTTTATAGACAAACCCATTATTCATAGTACTAAGAATTTATGGAATCAATCAAGACTGTTGGAAGTCGGTGGCATATTCTATCATATGAAATACTCATCTTCTTCGAAAGTTATACAGGGTGGTCAGAAATATTATATGATTTTCACGAAATTCAAACTTTCTTCACATCAATTTTTCAAATAGTGCACCCTACAATATGTATGATTTTATATCCCATTGGTGGTTTGATTGCTTATGGTCAATAGTTGTGAAAGAGAGTTGTGAATTTCTTCATCAGCAAATGCAAATGAAAAAATGCAGTAAACTATTTATTCAACTGTACTTAACTACTAAAAAAACAGTCCCAACAAGAAAAAACTGACTTGACGAATAATTAGGCACATCTCTCTTTCACAACTATTGACCATAAGCAATCAAACCACCAGTGGGATATAAAATTATACATATTGTAGGGTGCACTATTTGAAAAATTGATGTGAAGAAAGTTTGAATTTCGTGAAAATCATATAATATTTCTGACCACCCTGTATAACTTTCGAAGAAGATGAGTATTTCATATGATAGAATATGCTACCGACTACCAACAGTCTTGAATGATTCCATAAATTCTCAGTAGTATGAATGATGGGTTTGTCTAAAAAAATGTCTGCATTTCATGGAACACTAGTATAACTTGGCAACGCCTTGTCGTATTTTCAAAAATAAATAACTGATAATTAGCCTAGAGGGATGAGAATTCAGATATGTTGAAATATATGGGGTGTTCCATTTGAAAAAATTGATGTTCGTTTTTGTGAGCCTTTCTTGCGCCCCTCGTATAAAATTTAGTCATTCCTTAAATTAGCACTCATGATGCGATATGATGTGGAATTATAATATTTCGAAAATTCTTTCTGGTTCAGGAGATATTCAACTGTCCCACTGGTCTAGGGACACACTGTATATATATAACCATTTTTTTTATGTTCATAATTATATCTGTGATATTCTTTTTCGATACTTTCACCCAATCAAGGGGTTCAAACTTGAATGACGGAAACATGTTATTTTTATAGACCTTCAATCGCAGATTTTGTTTTCAAATGCTTATCGTGTGTGTTCAATTGATGTAATTCAATAATGTTCGTCGGGGCAAATAGCCAGGAAAGTTGTTGTTTTCTGTTGAATAAACCGAGAAAGAATTTATATTCTCATCACATAGATAATGCGAATTCTCATTGTATTTCTTTATACATCTATCCATTTTTTTTATGTTCATAATTATATCTGAGAATATTCCTTTTCAATAAAAAAATTACATGATTTTCTAATGAAAGGGTATTACTGAATTAAGTTGTCCTCAACGCATTCCAGATCATCACATTTATTACGAAATGTGAAAAGGTCATTTTATACTCGTATTCGGTTGTGCCTCCAGAAGAACGGAAGACATATCGAACATATAATAATTGATATATAGAAGACAGAAGGTGTGATGCTGTATATAACTGGAACCTTTGACATGATAATCCACTACACTGTTTCACCACTAACCAAACCCATTTTATAAACGCCTCGACACGTGTTTCGCTAACTTCGTTAGCATTTTCAGGAAACTAGTTTTAATATTCTTCTGAAGATGCTAACATAGCTAGCGAAAAACGTGTGGAGGTGTTTAAGAAATCGGTTTGGTTAGTGATAAAACAGTGTGGTGGAGGCGCGGACCCTGTATAATAAAGAATTCACATATTCATAAATAAGTGGCTACCTTAAGTTTTAAAACTGTTGGAATTATTTTCGTCAAACCTCAGGTAGACCTATTTCAGTGCATCCATTGTATGAAAAACAAAACTAGATGTCGATATTCAGTTTTTACCATTGGGATTGTAATAAAAATTTGATCAGTGAAAATATATCGAGAAACGTTATAAAACAAAATATATGAAAAAACGAATATCGAATGTAATATAAAAAAAATTACAATATAAAACTATTGTTCATATATCTAACAGAAGACATCTACTTTCGTGGCTAATACCACACAGAACACTGAATTATATAGACACATAATTATCTATTTACCCTGACCTAGAATCAATTGGAAATGAATTGATGAAAATATGTCTAATAGAAATATTTGAGTCCCGAAAAAGAATCATATCCCTGATGCAGAAATATTTATCTATTTTGTCGCATGTACTTACCCAATCCTTCATTTATTATTTTGATGAAAAGAAGCTCAAATTCATCTCCTTAAATGTTAAAACAAGGAACAACAATGGTAGATAACGTATGAACAACGACTACATACATGGCTAATGGCACGCAGAACATTGAATTACATCCTCCCGAAAGTAGTTGTTTTTCTCTCTTCATCTACCATTGTTGCCAATTGTTTGAAAATTTGTGGAGATTACGTTGAGCTTCTTCTTTTCTTTCGACTTTTAGTATTTTGGCTATTTCTCAGATCATTTATTATTTTCTTTTACAGCTGGCAGCAGAAAAATCTGTTTCTTTCGACAATGGTTTAGATGGTTCCATAGCAGAAGACTGTTTTTTTGCTATGAAAGCTTACAGTGAAAATTACAGCTTCAATTTCATAGAAGGTGAAATGTGGGAGAAATCGCCATTTACTCTTTGGGATTTTATGCAACAACGTAAAAGATGGATCCAAGGTATTCTTCTCGTCGTGCACTCAAAAGCTATTCCTTTCAGATACAAATTTTTCTTGACCTGTGCATGCTACTCTTGGTTAACTCTACCATTATCTGTATCAAATTTAATTTTGGCCTCAAGATTTCCAATACCCTGTCCACCAATGATGGACTTTTTATGTGCTTTTATAGGTGCTGTCAATATATACATGTTTGTATTCGGTGTAATCAAATCTTTCACCGTATATAGATTTGGTTTAGCTAGGTTCTTGTTATGTGTTTTTGGTGCAGTTATAGTGATTCCGTTCAATCTTGTTATTGAAAATATCGCAGTCATATGGGGTATATTTGGTAAAAAACATAAATTTTACGTGGTAAATAAAAGTACTGGATCTCCTCTCACTGTTTAGATGAACATGTGACTGGAATCATATGTTTTTTTCTTATTTAACATAATTTTGGTGTACCTGATCTTGAATAATACTTAAAAATCATAAGAACAGCGTCATTTAGAAACTTCCAATTCCTCTGAGAATTTATTTATATTATTTATTTGAAAATCAAGCTCACTTCCCCGTCTGACTGCAGAATATTTTTTTGTATCTATACCTGTGTTATTTTTAGAATTGCCATAAATACACTTCTCCAAACGCACTACCAAGTAGTAGCCAAAGGTTTAGGGAACATTTTCGTCAAAACTATTTGTCTAATTTGGGTTGTTTTTTGTTCTCAATGACAGGTTATTTCCTTTTGAAAATTTGTGTGCAAACGGTGTTAGCATAAGAAGCGTTTTTTTTTTCATTGAAATTTGTAATACAATTCGAACTGTAACAGTTACTTCATCAAGTTGAAATGGAAAGTACACTTTAGCATCATCTTCTTTCAATATTTCTCTTTTGGAATCACTCCATCATCTCCTATTTCTCCAGACACAATTTTATCGCATAACATGATTTTATTGTATTCAATTGGCATTATGAACACGAAAGTAGCTATGGTCTGGGAAGGCATTTCTTTGACTGTTCACATGGAGCTTGTGGTCATAAATGGAACCTTACAACTGAAAGGTACATATCGGTGATTTTAGAACCACATGTAGTGTAAGGATTTTTGTTGACGCGTAAGATAATGCCAGGGCTCACGTCGCCCGAGTTGTGAGAAATTATCTAGAGGAAGTCCATATCGCTACCATTGTATGGCCAGCTCCGAGACCGAATTTGAATCCCATTGAGAATCTCTGGGACATTCGGTTGCCCCCTTACGAGCAACCCTCGGAAGTCTAAGAGAGTCTTGTGCGAGGAAGGAATGACGGGGGCCTTACCTTTTAACGTGTGATCCCAAACACTTTATTGGGCCATCAGAAAAATTTCTGCGGTCGCTGGAAATCGAACCCACGACCGGCAAGCGAATGTGGATTAGAATATTGACACTCTGTCCGCACAGCTACCTGGTCCTGTGGACCAACATGATATTAGGTCTCTTATTTGGGGTATGTGCCCACAGTGAAAGTTCTCGCTACTGACTCTTTTGTTCAACTTGTGACTTCACATGCCGTTTCGTTTTTTCCTTATTTGATTTGGATATTCATTTTCCATAAAAATTCGAAAAAGAAATGTTGAAAAAAGATGAGACTAAAGTGTGATCTCACTTCTAACTCTACTAGTGTAACTATTACACTCTACAAGGTATTACGAATTTCATGAAGAAAAAAACACACTGTAATTACTACACCCGGTATGTATAAAAAAGGTTTTTATGCAAATACAGGTTGCACACCAATGTTCATTAGGAAATAACCTCATTCAAAACAAGAAACGTCTTAATCGGACTACTACTTTTGACTAAAATGTTTCGTAAACTTTTGGCTACTTTTGAGTGGTTCGTTAATTTCTTGGAGAAGTGTATATTATGACAAATTAATCACTTAGATAATTGTAAATATGTGAATAAAAAAGATGCAAAAAGAACATTTTTTTTTTTTCGAGAACCAAAAGACAGGAACATGAACTGCTCAACAATTGGAACATGACGATGCATAATTCTGCTCCGTTATGAACCGTCCTAATTTTCTAATGACATAACCGATTCCAATTTTTCTTTTATTCTCCGAATGATAATGTCGTCGCCCTATACACGGCAACAATCTGAACACTCTTGAGTGGTTTGTTTTGATGGGTGTGACCAATGAGCACAACCAATTCAAACAGAATACAAATACCGCTTTGACATTTTCAAAAACCTTGCTAGATGGCGTACCTAAGCTTATTTTCTATAGCGAATTATTTGTGGTCATAAGATGTACCAATAAAAATGTATTTTGTACAATAAAAATTATTGTACTAATAAAAAGTTATTGATTGTACTTATATTTATCTTTATTTTGCCTATGAGCTGCTCTAATTTCGGGGGGTCGTGAGTAAGTGAAACCTGTTAGCAAATCTGAGTCCCTTTTTAGACAACTACTCGATAAGATAAGATATATTAGATAAGATAAGATTAATGAGCGCCATGTGTTTTATTTCTGGTTAAAACACAAAAACCAACAATCTATGCAAGAAGAACAGTAAAACAAATTCACTAGCTTAACAATTTAATTTAATGTGAAATTGACTATTCACAAAAATCTACATGTACCGAAATGTGCCAAGATATTCTTCCAATCATTTGAAAACTGACAATTCAACATCAAAAAGAATTTTTGATTAAACTGAACTTTGCACTTGTTTTTGAGCAATGAGGGACACTTAGTCCCATCGAACTTCTTCCTGAAGAGTTTCCTGGATTTCTGGATGGTTCTTTTCCCTCCTGTCGGACTTTGAAATCTCCTTGGTGAGTGAGTTCAACTACTCAATTCATCGAACTACTTCCCCACCAGGTGAACTTCGGTCAACTCGTATGTCCCAGGAGGTTTCCTTCTGTGGAAGTCTTGCAAATCCACTGGATAATGTTGCAGGAAATGTTCTTGCTGCTGTCCTTAATCAATAGAGCGAACAGAATCTGTCTAATACTCGATTTTAGAAGATCGTGATCTCAATGGAGTGTCAAAAGTGCCATCAGACTCAAAAGAAGTCTTACAAGTTCTTCAGAATTTTACAAAACTGATAATAACCAGTGAAGATGTAGTGGCCATATATACAGATATTCATCAGGAAGTAATATATACAATGATATACAATATAGGGAAAGATAAGATAAAACAAGATAAGATAATATGTAACAATAAGAAAAGAGTTGCAAATTTGACAAACATCCATTGTTATTGAATATCATATTGTATATATTTTTGGGTGCAAATCACCATGTATTTTAGTTAGACAGTTGTCAATAATAAATAAAAGTCAAATAAAGTGTATTGTCTTGTCGCTGGAAATACTTATAAAAAAAGGGTAATAAATCCACCTTCAAACGGAAGTCAACTACAGACAAATACATAAGTGGTCCTACAAGTTATCTACATAAAAATCAGTCCGTGGAAGATGTCCAGGTCTCTACCATTAAGAAGAAATGAAAGGACAACAAAGGGAAAAATACCAGCTGGGTATATGACGGAAAGTGAAGTTGCCATAGAGAATGTGACAGAAAAAAATCCTTTTTCTGCAACCAACACAAAAGTCGTCCATTTTGATACCAAAATTAGCTCTTAAATTGACGTTTCTATTACTGGCACAAAAATAGGTATGTTGCTAGGCAACATATTCAGTTCCTAGGAGCTGAAGTTGAACTTTAGTTCCTAGGAGCTAAAGTTGAACTTTAGCTCCTAGGAACTAAAAAGGAAGTACTGGACGTCATCAAGAATAAACAACATTGTTATGGTTGGTTATATTTGGGTTGAGACGCATACCTGATTTGTTTCCGATTTCGGCAGATTTGGCATTTCATACCCATGCTGGAGATATAAATACATCTTATTATAGTTAAGTATTGGAATTATAAACATCTCAGTTAAAGTTGAGTGTTTTTTTTATCAGGGAAGCCTTCAAGATTCAAATATTTGCTGGATCTGTATTTCAGTCATTATTCTCGGGATAGATAACTTGTTTTTGAATAATCACAGCAAGCAATAGTTTTTTGTCTCAAACAACTATATTGTTTACCTTCATTTGATTATTGAGCGAAATGTTTTTCTGTATTATGTAGAGGAGTAAATAATCGCTATTATTATTGTTGATATGCTCACTAACCTAACATGTCCACGTCTTGTTCTTAAACCTGGCACTGGCGCGGTATTTGCCAAATATGTCACTCCGTGGTTGTATTTATATTGAAACTACAATTCGAACATCCTTGAAAATTGAATGAACCTGCTGTTGATGCAGGTAGAATGTACGGATTATTTGTCAATATTTGTTGCATTGCATACATAATATGGCACGGCATTGGTAGTAACTTCACATATTTATTTGAGTTTATTGTTTCGGTTGCAGAAAAAATAGCATGTTTCATTCGGATCAAAAGTGACTTTGTTCGACTCGCAAATTTCACATATTTATTTGAGTTAATTGTTTCGGTTGCAGAAAAAATAGCATGTTTCATTCGGATCAAAAGTGACTTTGTTCGACTCGCAAATTTTGCTTTCGCTCGGCTTCGCTAAACGCTCCGCCTCGCAAATGCAAAATTCGCTTGTCAAACAAAGTGTCACTTTTGATCCTAATAAAACAATCTACTATTATGTAAAAAACAGGATGAAAAACTTACGGAAAAGTTAACTAAAACAGATTCGAAAATGGGTCAATCTGAACGAAATACGCATTCCATATCAACAAACAAGTCTAAAAATAGTACTATTAGGCGAAAACAATTGGAACTAGAGGTAGAAAAAGCAAAGAAAATAGCCGAGATCGACAAAAACATAATTGAAAAGGAAATTACATTGAAAAAGGCAGTGCTAGAAGAACAATATCAATCTGGCAAGGGTTCTTCTATCGACGATAAGGAAACTGAATAATATATCAAAACCGTTACTTCCAAGTCTTGTTACATACAACAGTGGGTGAACTCAGTACATCCTGAGGCGAATGTTTCATCTGCAGTGGATATAAACAATATTGATCCTGTGTTGAATCGTGATATAAATACACTCTCAGAGTTGAAAATAAATCAATTTATGGCTAGGCAATCTTTCAACAAAGATCTTCCAGTGTTTAATGGAGAGTCTGGAGAGTGGATGACCTTCATCACGCAATTCAAGGAGTCAACGAAAATTTGTGTTTTTTTTTAATACAGAAAATATTATTCGCCTGCAGAAAAGCTTAAAAGGTAAAGCCAAAGAGTCAGTGAATGCCCTACTAAGCTTCACCCAAGAAGTTGACAAGATAATTGAGACATGGGAAAAAAGATTCGGTAGATCGAAGACGATCATTCAAGATTTGATTGACGCGGCTCTAAAGATTTTCAGCTTGAAAGAAGATAAAATAGAAAACATTCTAGATTTCTCAAATAAAGTACAAAATGTAGCAGTCACCATCAACAGTTTGAAAGGTGAAGGATATCTTTGTAATCCTCAACTTCTAAATGATCTAACCAAGAAGCTGACTACAATATTGAAAATAGAATGGGGTAAAAGAATCGTTGAAAGAAAAAAAGAAAAAGATGTCATAAGAAAGAAAATCCAGTCAATATTCTAGAATTCTCGCAATGGTTAGAAGAAATCAGTGAAGC